TTGTTACCTACCGTGAACAACTTTGGTCTTCAAAGAATGCAAGGCTATATATCAAACCATGCTAAAACCATTTATGGATTTAAACAGGACGCACAGAAATGCAGCACAACTATTTTTAGCAGAATGATAGCTACTCTAGCCCATGCACATTCGTTATTTGTATGGCAAGGCATACAAATTGGTTGACCATACACGAATGATGCCACTCGATATGCAACGTCACGGATGGATTAAATCAAAGTGAAGTGGACAATGGACTGGCAAAACGGATGACTGATTATATGCATTTACCGCAAATTTGACTTCAGTTTAGCTCCAATTCTGGTTTCCCAGGACCTTGGATCAATGAATGATCAGAGCGGAGATTTAATTGAATGGAAACTGAAGGCTATCTTCTTAATCATATAGGCTTTACTGCATTAAAACTTTCAATGGGCAATGGGTAATTTGATTGAGCTTTTTCATATTCTGAACAAAAACCACTTTCAGGGCGGTTCAGGGGATGAATTTTTATGTGACGCTGGTACTCCATATGGATGAAAACTTCAACGCATAGTCTAGGGCTTAGGAGACATAAGAGCACATTTTTTTACGTTTCGTTTTTCTATCTTTTTTTTTACAACATAATTCCGCTCAATATACGTTTTCATTAGGCGTAGTAGATTCGATTCGATTATATGTTAAGTAAATGACTATGAAATTTCTGCCTTATAGCCGCGGCACTCATACGCCGACTCATGCTCTTCATACTCCTCATCGAGTATGCGGTATTAGTTCATCCAAATATCCTGAGTTTTGCAGCTCTGCCAACTACGTTAAGCTCAAGATGATCAGCATTTGCCTAGCGTAGACATTTCTATCTATTCCGAAGCCTTTGTATCAACCATTATTAACTTTCTTCAACGGAGAACCATACTTGATCGTCCTATATCGTTGCATCAAGCCGGCCTCAATCCATGTATCCTAGTTATCATCATCTCTTTATCATTATTATCGAAAACCGACATCGTCTCCCGACCGATACATTTACGTTGCCACCGTCCATTCGCAGCATGCTGTGACACCATGCCCTACTCCGCACAGTGGCCTATTAGCGCTACTATCCACCAACCATGACTGGCCATGACTCTCGTGGAGCGCGTATCGCAACACATTCACTGCATTTACAACCGTGCAGCGGCACGCACAATGCGCCGCGCGGCCGCCGGTGTTCCTCTGAGCACCTCTGAGGTGGCCGGTGGTCGGCGCCCGCTGCAGACGACTGGACGGCACGTGCGGCGGCGCCGGTGGCCACCTCGGACGTGCATGACACCGTCATGCCGCCTGCACGGTGCACACGCGGGCGTGCACAATGCACGGCTCACTGTGCACAGCTCAGCGCGCGCCATCCGACATCCACCTGGCCCAAAGTGACTTGCAAGGTGTACGGTTATCGCATGTTGGGGCAGGTCGTGCATTTGTACTCCAAATATGCTAAATTAAAAAGAGCAGCACTGTCTATTGGCGCGATCCTCGCTGCATATGAATCGTCATTTCTGCAGCAAGTGTGTGCCGACTGCAAGCTGCAAATCTGTGCCGGCCAGGCGAGTACGGAGTGCTCCTCTGCGGTGGCAGAATTAGTTACACGGAGCTAAATTTAGGAGCGCTGAATGACTGTGGCGTGGCGCGGCGCTATGTCCGTGTGTCGCCGATCAGCTGCAGTGACCAGTGGCGTCGGGTACTCGGTGACGGAACTGCAGAATGGCCGACCGGACGCACCGTGACGGCTACGGGGATGAGGGAGGGACGGAGGGGGAAGACGCCGAGGACTTCCGTGTTGGGGAGGTGATGCTGTTGGTGAGGCTGTAGGAGGTGGTGGTGCCGTGAAGGAAAGTGATGCGTGGAATGATGTAGGCATGAGGAACAGGTGGTGAGAGGAGTAGTAGGTCGCAGTGCTGGAGCTCAGCAAGACGCTGCAGACTTAGATGATCCGTTTGAGGAGTAGCTGAAATTATAAAGCCAGTGACACGTAAGCTATCTGTCACTCAATGAAGGCGATAACGTCAGAAATAAAGGTAATCCTTCATAAAGATCGCCTTACAATTACACCAAGGTATGTGCAGAATTACGTGAAACATTTTCCCCCAGCTTTTTGTACTTACTTGAAGGAAAACGGCAATGTATTTATTGTTGTTTCGTCGTCACACGCTTTCTCAGCTATAAGCGTCACATGTGAAAACTCCTGCCGAATCATGGCTCTACGGCCTAAACTGGTTATGGCTATTGGTTCACTAGCCCTTGACACCATTCTTCTACAGGATTTACTTCGATTCTAACGGATATTGCAACATTGCATGAGTGCCTTGTACAATCCCACGTCATTTACGTTCACAGAAGTGAATTGTCCGAGGCGAAGGATATTATCACAACAATGACCGACTCATTTTTCGTTGCCTGCTACTTCTGATTTATATGTGAACATTAATCGAAAGCTAAGCAACTATCTTATTACACTATGATTGCAAAACACAATGAAGTTGAAAAAGCCATATTCGTTCGCATTAAATATTTTTTGTCGTTCACATAAATATCACTGCAAGCGCGTTATATTGAAGCTCGAAAACCAAAATGGAACAGTGCGGGATCGTTGGTGCTATGGTGCTACTGTCACTTGATAGGTACGTGTTGTGATTTTGTTCCTTCCTTCTAATACCTCAGTGAACAAAACAAATGTATAATGTATTTATGTTCTGTATCATGAATATTAATCCAATTTCCCTGTGCTCCTGGATACGATCAACATTGCCAATCTTTTCCTGGTCTTTCTAGTTCTTACAAATGTGTGATGATCCACAGGTATTTTGGCCAGCTCATGTCTCGGCCATATAACGTTTATTCATTTTTACGATTACGGCTGTGTCGGTCACGCAATCCATTGGCGTCGCGCGGTGTAGAACAAATGACTGGATCTTTACTGTTCCGGGCTCCGGCTGAGGTTCCCATAACACTAGCCGCCACATCCGACCACAATTGCACATAGCATCAGTGGACGGAACTTGCTTTACCGAGATGGAACCGCTTTTTTATCCGAAAGAATCAAGTCTTTCGCTGGTGTTTCACCAGTTTCACGTTTCAGTATTTATAATTGCGTATTCGGATAAGCAGATAACATTCTTTAGACTTGGGATCGCTCTTATCACGAATGCAACCTACTGTTCTTTGTACGTTTCTGAAAGTGTCATGGTGAAGCTTCTGCAATAATCATTTTTGAGGCCATTTTTGAGCTCCAATTACCGCCTGGAATTCCTAGTTACGTTATCAATCGCGCATCTTTCTAATGATAACCGATTCAACAGTGTGGCTTCCCTCACCCAAATCTATTTTTGGTGTGTGAATCGGAGTATGTGATTGTTCGGCCCTTATCGTCCCGATGTTCGCCCTAGTTGGACCCATCTTTGACCTCCTTCGGACCCATTTATGACCCTATTCGACCCACCACCCTCTGCCCTATGCGCGTGCGTGTGCGTGTGTGCGTCGGGACGATGACGCGGGACAGTCGCGGCCGCCGGCAGTGTCCCGGATGCCGCCGTTGCGACACGTGCATCGTGGGCACGCTGGCCGCTCCGTTAGTGAGAGCCATTGTGCGTGCGGCCGCTGACCCGTGGCTCTGTGCGCGTGGCGCAACAGGTCATCGGCCCGTGCCCCGCGGCGCCGCGCGACAACGGGTCACACGCGCCGCCAGCAGCTGAGGGTTGAGGGCGCCACAGGGGCGCAGGGCGGCGGCGCCCCGCCCCGACCGAGACGGCGCCCTCTCCGGGCGGCAGGGGCACACGTGCACCGCCGCCGCCGCCGCCGCCCGCCGTAGCCTTGAGCGGTCCGCGGGCGCCGCGTCCTCCCTCCTTTACGCCCGGCTCAATTCAGGCCAGTTTTCGGCATCCAGCGGCCCTGCCACCCGGCGCCCTTACTGCAACGGGCCATAGAGGCCACCCGCCACCGCCCCTGCCCAGAAACTGACCCTTCTGAATCATACTGCAATGAGCTGCAATTGTGCCGCGATCAAGTTATCTTTTAATTGTGATCGAATTACGGCCCATCTGGAGGAGGACATGTGAAGGACTGTCCTGCAGAGTCCCCCCCCCTCCCCGCCCTCCCTGTCCCTGTCTCCCGCGGCGTCTCCCCACCCTGTCGCGCCGCGATGGGACGCCGCCTCCGCCGCCTCCACCGCCGCCGCCGCCGCCGGCAACACTTGTGCAATAATGGTGGGCCGCCGGCCGCCAGGTTATTGTTCGCCAATATCGGGCGGTCAGGGGCGGCTCGAGACCCGGCAACGGCGGCGGCGGCGGCGGCGGCGGTAGGGGAGCCGAACCGCCCGCCGGCCCGCCGCGCCGGTCCGCCCGGCCGGCCGGCTCCGTGGGAGAGACGGAGCGCCGGCAGAATTCTAAGTGGCCTCAGGTCACGGGACGCCTTTGACGCGCACCGGTGTTTAGAGGGGGCCGCCAAGGGGTCGTTCGGGGCCAGGTGGTCGGCTACCGAACCCCAAACTGTCCGCCTAGCACGCCGCAGTTGGCGCGTCGCGAGCGTCGCATGTGTCGCGCGACCGGCGTCCCGCGCCGTCATCGTCGTTTCTGAGCCGGCTTTGTCGTGGCGACGCGTCTCGGCCTTGGCAGTGCCGGGCGGCTTTTATTTCTTGTGCTTGTTTATTACCATTAGTGAGCTTCGTCGCCTTGCCGGGCTGCGGCGGCCGCCGCCTCTGCCGCCCTGCCGCCCGCCACCCGCCGCCCTCCGCCGCCCGCCGCCGCCGCCGCCGCCGCCGCCAGGGGGACGCAGCTGCTTGAAACGCTGCAACAGGGGCGTCCCGGTCGTGCAACTTGCATGCAATACGGCGGGCGAGGGTCGGCCGGCCGGCGAGTTGTGTGGCGGGAGCCGGGAGAGCGCGCCGCGTCCCGAGCTGTGTGTGTCGCGCCGCGCCGTGCCTGCGGGTCGTCCGAACCGAATCCTGAGTCGCGTCCTCGCCCCGGCAGGTCGCCTCGGGAGAGCGCGAGGAGCGTGTCGACGGCAAGCAGCCCGTCCAGTGTAACATCTGCAGCAGGAAGTTCAAAAATCTACCGGCGCTGAACGGTCACATGCGACTGCATGGAGGCTATCTGAAAAAGGTGAGTGCTTCAGAGGCTGGGTTCACCATACGGGAAACGGGACACCCAACTGGGATAGATCAAAATTTAGAGGGAAGGGAGAGGACGTTTGGTTTGTGTTTGAGTCCACCGGTAGGCACCCCACCGCGGTCCGGCCGTTGGGACGGGCGGCGCCCCTCCGGCGCCCGCTGTCCGCCGACACCCCGTCGGCGGCGACTGAGATCGTCGGAGGCGACGACTGCTCTCCGTCGACGTCGGCGCAGCATCTCGGGTGCCCATGGGCAGATCAGATGCGCGGACAGACGCTGGTGGAGGCGCCGGGTTTTCAGTCGAGCCGCCGCCCGTCCTGCCCCGTCCGGCCCGCGCGCGGCCGGCGCGGCGGCGGCGGCGGCGGCGGTTCTCTTTGTTTGGAGACGCCGGCTTCGAAACGGGAGGGGAAGGCGGATGGATACAAGGGAGGGAAGGGTTGGAGGGAAGGTGCTGATACTGTGGGACGTGCTTGAGTTTGCTTCGGTAATTTTGTTACATGCTCAAGTGACGGAGATTCAGCAAAGACAGGCATGCAAGGCGGAAATAATTTTGTTATTTGCGAAGCATTCAGGCAATTCAGTCAGTTGATCAAATTAGGACGCGCAATGTGTCACGTCTGCAACAAAATTGGCAGCCCGCTCTGCTCCTGGCAGAGCAGCTCCAGGGAGGGCAAGGCGAGATAGGAGCGAGGCGCATCAGGCGGTCGAATGGGATCAGTATTTATCGGGTTAGTGATTAAGCGGAATTAATGCTGCAGATGCGCCAAGGCCTCACGGCTTGCATCTATGTCTAATATTTCGTAAAACAGACAGCTCCGTAGCTTCTGAATCTGAAACAACAAGTGACGACAAAATTGAAATGAGAAGGAGCCAGATCCCAGGGCGGGATATAAAACTTAACGAAATGATAGAGTGAGGGGACTTTGAGGGATCAAACAAAATGCAGGATTTCGGCTCAATGAGCCTGCATTACAGGCTGTTACTGTTTATATCAAGACTCTCCACATGTCTTTTGAAGACCCCACTGAAACGTTGTCCTGCTGCATTGACTGATAAATAACCCAACTTAGCGAAGCCCAGCGCAGTGACCGTTTTCTGGGTGTGCCAAATTTCCCACAATTTTTCAGGCAACAGCCATCAGCGAGCCAGGCTGCCGTTGGCTGATTAAAGATTTTATGGATTTCGTAATGCAGCTTCTGCAACATGAGCGCCATTTTCCCTCTCCGATGTCGTCAGTTCCCCCTCTCCGTTCCAATTAGCTTGACAAGGGTGGTGAGGGAAGAGAAGGGGAGATGAAATGTCTGCTGCTTGCAGTTGATGACTGGGAGCGTGGATTAAGGGACAGAAGGAGAGAACTTGCTGATGAAAGATGTAAAAGGATGAAATGAAACGTTGCAAGTTGGCAGGAAAATTGGGTTCCCATTTTTAAGATGCTTTACTGGTGTACGAGTAAAAGCCGTGCACTCTCGTTCAAAATGATAAATATTAGAGGCAACGATCAGAGTAAAGCTAAATTGCATATTTTGCTGAATTGAACTAATAATTATCATGAAGTAACTTTATACTAGAAAACATAATCCCAGTGCGTATCTACTTTTACAGCAAAAAGTGCCTGTAGTGAACGCTAAGAGGCCAAAGCAGTGCATTTTCGTCGTTACAACTTACATAAACGTTATTCACACTTTTGTACGCTTAACTTACGAAAAAGCTCACGTTGTTTTGAAGAGTTATTGGAAATTTTGATGAAGTGGTTTTCTAAATACTTATATAGTATAGTTGAAACGCGTCTTTTCCAAAAATGGAAGCTTCTTATTGAACGGAAAATGTATTGGGTAGCAATAAGTTCAAGGCTCTCGATTGCTATTTGCCTGGGGCACAACGAGCTCATTCCGTGCAGATTGTTTTCAAATCTGGATTCGTAAATTACAGCTGGAATTCTTGCCTGGAGTTAATGCTGCATAATAACACGTCATGCTTACACTAAGTGCTCCTAATCCCATGACTTGGCCAAAACATTTTACCGCACAAACAATACACCCGCGCTCATAACTCGCAAAAGGTCATGCATGACGGGCCTCACCATCTTAGACTATGAGCGATGATCTTCGAATGGCAACTAATGACTGGTTATGGCTGCCTGCCATTCTCAAGATCATCCATCGTTTGTGCGTGAACCATTTTTGGGTATCGGCGGTCTACCCTGCGCGTCCCGTCGTTACCGCGAGCGGTCAGTTGATGACAGCACCCCCGGCCATGATCGGGACGCGCGCATCATTCGGCAGGGTTTGGGGCGTTGGTGCATGCTCATTTGAATCGTTGCCAGGCGCCCAAGTGCCGCTCGTCAGTGCTGTAATGTTCCGCAGTCACGTCACAGTGGTAGTTCCGACCGGCAAGAACACCGCCCGACTTTGGCGACAGATAAAACTGTGGGAGGGTAAAATGGGAATGGGAAAGTAAGGAGTCATCCTATTTCGCATGTTTATAAAGTTTGTGACAGTTATGATTTTGTCTGCATTGGTTAGCCTGATCCTGATGCGTGTATGATTCCCCACAGTTCACGAAATCCACTGAAATTCCTAATTCTTAGTTTTTTTTTTATTTTATAGCGTTTACAAAGGCAAATCCTATGAAATGTGCTAATAAGGGCGATGAAATCTTTTCTGTGCGGTACATATTTTGAACTTCAGGCAAAAATAAAAATATTGGTAACTGTAAGAGCGGCATGCTAATGTATTATTTTATTCAACATACGATCCGATTATTAAGCGTAATATGCAATATTTCCATGCAATATTTCCATTGATGAGCAAATTCCACTTGCTGCAATATTCTCCCGCTCTATTTCCGCGTCGCGTCCCCGTCTGACGGGGACGCCCCCGAAGGTCTTTGTTAGCCGGAGGGTCTGCGGGCCGTCTCGGCGGCGGCAGCGACGCTGACGAGTGACAGTTTTAGAGGGTGCTGGTGCTGCCGTGCGCGCCTCAACGACCTTTTCAGTCGCAGAAATGACCTCGACCCGTCGGCGCCAATCAGACCTGAAGATTGCCTGATGAGACCGCCGCCGGCGCCGTCGTCGTCGTGGCAGTGGCAGTTGCACCCAGAGCGGTCAAGTCGTCGTTGAATGTCGATGGCGGCAAAGCGACACTGCCATGACAGTGGCACTGTAGCACAGTTTCTGTATCTGCATGGGGACAAAAGTTATGGAAATACTAAATACTACTAGTAGCAGACAATCATTGTAGATATGGGACCACCTTCGGGTGGACCACGATTTCGAAAGAGGAGACAGGATCATTACCATTTCGACGAAATATGAGTTTGCTTACTGAGTTTGTTTTAGATTCTAATCGTCGACCAGAGTCAAGAAGGCAACAGAATAAAATAAAATTTGAAAAGAGCCCTGGGAAGGAGTCACGCGTTTTCCAAGCAGCAAGATCAAACACGTGCGGTGTTCTGTCTGACATTATAGCTGTCTCAGGTGAAAGCAATGAACTATTGGAGGAGGAAAATCAGCTCTGATTTCTCCGAATGTCACGGCTTAGGGAGTCAGATAAAGCGGTCGAGTCACCAAACCGTGCTCAACTTATCTAAGCCTTGGGAACTTTTCTGGCGTCGGCAGTGACCGCTGACGTCAATATCTTATAGGGCGCACCGACCAGGCGTTGACTAGCAAAGGGCATCTCATTGGTCCCTCGAGCAGTCCTTCGGTCCTGGTCCGGCCGACTGTGGCTGTGTGTCGTCTGTACGGCTATCTCAGAGTCAAATCGGGTCGCTCTCTATCAGAGTAATGACCGTTATCTCACAGTATATAACAGGCTGTCCAATTAGGCGGGCCCCAGGATCAATGCGCCGCCTGTGCCCATTCCCGTTCGTCATTTTCTTGACGTCACTAGTAGTTAGATTCGCTAACCTAATTGCAAGATATAAATTCTCCGAAGAAGTAAGGGTAACCTTGGTATGTCCGATTCAAAAGAAAAACGATTTGCTACTGTTACTGGGTATCTTTAAATCAGTGAAATTCCGTCATATTCAGCACTGTCGCTTGACTCAGCAGATAACACGTCGTTGTTGAAGTGCGCTGGGGTGGGGTGGGGGGTGGGGGGTGGGTGGGGGGGGGGCGTCTCTACCGATGTCCAGTAGCTGACTGAGTTAGGACGAAATGTTTGGACGAACTTTCACCCTTTTTAGATGACGGACCCAAAGCTGAAAATCTTTCTTGATGATAAAAAAAGTAATTCACCTCTAAGTGATGTGTCTCCGCGTGTTTATCTAGCGTAACCTCAGTTCATTACTTCGTTGCAATCTCGCATAACATTCAAATCGATATTCCGTTACGCAAGTTTCTCATGCGTAACTCGACCTCTTTCGGTCCAGCAGTTTCCATTGTCATCGAGATTTTGTAAACGTGTCCACTGACAGCAGATGATCACCAATTAGTGGCTTCAACTCTGCGGCGAAATTGTCGAACCTGCCACGCAGGTCTGCCACAAATCCTGGTATAAGGGTCGATTGGAGACAGTTGACAGTCATATCTGGGGATAAATTGGCCAGAGGCTTGTGATAGCGCCGCGGCTGGGTAAAAATGTGGTTTTCCGAACGAATCAATCGTTTGGTGCTTGGAAAAGAAGGACTCTTTGGTGTGTTTTGAGGTTTCGTCGTTAAATGCTAAAACCTCGTGGCCATTTGGCCAATGGTCATGTAAGAGTGAATGATTTCCATTCGAGTCATGACGTTGATGGTTCAATGTGACATGGCTGTTTTGTTTGCTGTTGTTATTTTGGAAGAACAACATTTATTGATGTCGACCGTAATGCATCGGTGTTCAGGTATCGACACGAATGCAAACCAAGAAGGTCATGGCTTTAAATTCAAATCATTGAAATCGATTTTCTTTAACCCGCGCCGTGCTGGTGGCCTGAACTTTCCGCCGAGTGCTGGGGGGGGGGGGGGGGCGTTTTCACGCCCCCCCCGTCTAACTCGGCTCCTGGGCCACGT